TTTTTTTTTGAAATAAGGGTGTTGGCAGGTAGCTAACGGTTCGATTCATTCATTTAAATGCTCAAAAATATTTATATACTTTTCAAAAGTACATTTTACGAAATAAGGGTGTTTTTTTTTCAAGTAACAAAAGTATTTATATAAAAGCACTTTTATGGAGGTACTTTTCAAAAGCACTTTTATGAAAGTACTTTTCAAAAGCACTTTTATGAAAGTACTTTTATAGAAGCGCTTTTATGAAAGCACTTTTATAAAATTACTTTTATGAAAGCACTTTTATAAAAGCATTTTTACAAAAGCACTTTTATGAAAGCACTTTAGTAAAAGGACTTACAAAAGTATTTTTACAAAAGCACTTTTATGGAAGTACTTTTACGAAAACACTTTTATGGAAGCACTTTTAAGGAAGTACTTTTACAAAAGCATTTTTAAGAAAGTACTTAAAACACTTTTGCGAAAATACTTTTACAAAACATCTATGTCAAGTGGTAAACATTGACTATTGGAGACCTAAGCTTGCATTTTGTGAATACCAGCATGATTTTTTTTTTTTTTTTTGAAGAATGAAAAGCAACGTAGGACATTTTTCAGGATGACAAAAATTCATTTTTAGGAAAAAAGTATTTGGTTCATAGCAATATTTTTTCATTCTACCTATTTTTACCAATTCTTTTTCATTTTAGAATTTCATATTGGGTAAGAATGAGAAAGAATGAGAATTGAACCAAACATGGCCTCATTCTCTTCCTCTTGTTCTTTTTCATCTTTGTTTTCTTTTTCTTCTTCGTTTTAGCWTTTGTTTTGGCATGCGATGAAGTAGTTGTTGTTGTTGTTGTTTTTTTTTTTTTTCTTTTTTTTTTTTTGAAATAAGGGTGTTGGCAGGTAGCTAACGGTTTGATTCATTCATTTAAATGCTAAAAAATATAATGGTAACAACCAAAAAGGAAAAAGGAAGAAGGCGCCATTGGCCAACTTTTATTTAAAATAAAGTAGTTATTATTTACGAGCTTATGTCAATAGGTTTATTGAATGCATTATCACATCTTTTTGGTCCATTCTTTTATAACTTAATTATTTTTAATCTTTAGGTTTTCCACAAATCCAATTCACTATCTTTCTCATTTCTATTTAATGCTATTCATATTATTCCTGATGTGAATGAATAAGATATATAAGAGTACTATTTTGCATATCTTATGGTATTTCCTAAAGACCTCAAGCCTCTCAATCAGATATCTAACTGTAATAGTAAGCTGAAGAGAATTATAGTCAGTCCAAAATAGATCATTAATTAGAAGTTTTTTTGAATAAAAAAGTTGAGTACGGGTATAGAGGAGTGAGCATTTGGTTTATTCGATTAAAAATCAAATCGAATAAACCGAATTTATAAAATATAAAACCGAATCGAAGCCATACTATTAAAAAACTGAAAAGACCAAAACCGAATTTTTCAGTTCGGCTTTCGGTTTTTCTCGGTTAAAACTGGGTTTTATTAATATTATACTAATACATAATATTATATATTATGTATATACTAAAGTTTGGTTAATTCAGTTTTTTCAGTTAACTGAATTTTAAATCCTGAAAACCGAAACTAAAATCAAAATTTTTTAAAACCGAATTAATCAAACCGAAAAACCAAAAACCAAAAACACTAAAATAAACAAACCGAAACCAAAAATTTCAGTTCGGTTTTTCGGTTTTAACCGAACAATGCTCACCCCATAAAGAGATATCATCCGCAGGTTCAAAATTGGTTTGGGAAAAATAGAGGGTTCAGCTTATTTATCAAGTCACTTAGACAAGTTAAACGATGAGTTAGAATCCTCCATATAGCTAGGGCAATCATGGACCAAGTTTTAGCATTGTGATGCACCTAATGAGCTTTATTAATATTATTATTATTATTATTATCTACTTTTTCAACTTGAAATTGAGCTAGTAATATTGCAAGAACTTCCAACTTAAAAACCTTCCATTTTAGCTCGAGAGTCGAGACTAAACAATTGATTAATACTTCACTAAGGGTCAGGATCCACCATTTGATGGTAGCCACTTGGAAGACTATGTGACTATGCGAGTGGAAACTCTATCTGTTTGGATGATTGCAACTATAGTAATTTATGTATGTATTATTTTTGGATAGTTGGAAGCTAATTTGTCAAACTTTAGAGAGACCCAATAAATCAGATGGCTAAAAGGTATCATGTTGATTTTTGGCCAAATGTTTTGCATTAGTTTGTTATTCTTTTTTGTCTCTAATATTTATATTAATATTTTTATCTGTTATTTGGYCCAAAATAAGAAAAATGAGGGAAATTATGCATCAAAGCATGAAAAAGATGGATCCACCTGTTCTTTGCCCCAAAATAAGGAAAAAAAAGATAACATCTTTATCTTTATTCTTTACTATATAGTGAAGATTCTTGCCATGGCTTTTGCTTCACGCCCAGACGACCATGGAAAAAAGTGAAGACATTATTTTTTCTCTCCATTTATTTTCTTCTCTTCCACTGTGCTCATCTCTTTCTCATCTTGTACAACTAGTCAGTATAATTAAGTCAATATAAGAGATTTAAATAGTAGCGACTTAATTAGCGATATGCTCTTTTGATTGATGCTACAGGTAAGGATGACTTTGACGTGAAGATGGTTTCTAATTGGTTGGAACTTGGAGGCTTGAGGGGAAATTTAAAGTTCACCAGAGGCGGAGAGAACGATATATTCCATAATTGTGAAATGTGAAAGTTCTGCAAATTAAACTAACATTTCTTCATTCTGCACCTATCTTCCAGCAAGCCAACTACGTCCATAGCTACTAATGCCTATGCCAATGGATATAGTAACATTGCATGTTTTAATTTCAGCTTGCTATATGGGATTATTAATTTAATTAGTATAGCAGAAGTAGTTCTCCCACCCTTATTCCATCCATTACTGGCTACTAGGCTCTCGGTCTAGTTTAATCTGTTCTCTCAGAAATATTGACATTTATTAACATTGCCATATATCATGGATCATTTTGTAGGACACAGACATTAAGATGTAAAGAGAGCTTGACATGCATTTACATAAGATATGGAACGGCCACCTCCTAATGCAGTAATGCCCCAATAATATCTTCTATTTATGGCCTTTTTTTTGTAGACAGCGCAGTGCACAAAAAGGTCTTCAAAGTTATCCTGAGGCAACTTCTTCAACAATCAATCTGGATTTCTCAAAGTTATCCTGGTTTCTCCACGAGTGTGGAGATGGGGTTGTCAGAAGAGGGCAAATATGGTGTAGTCTCAACGTTCTTGGTCTTTGAACAACCACCTTTGTTTGTTGTCGTAAAACACCATTTACAGCTTTTGAGTAGTTGATTGACTCGTGGTCTCTCAGTATTGTACCTTCGGATCCATAGGCCTTGGGGTCACTTAAAGTCTCCAGTGGGTGAGGAGAATTGAGGAAGGCCCTAAGAGCACTTGCTATCATCACTCGGGATCCACATAGAGTCTCGTTCAAGACATATAGAGCAGTCCCAGGAGGGAGCAAGGGGTGAGGAGGAGATGACTTCTCATCTGGTTGAAGAATGTACAATCGACCCATTGGCCCATATAACAGTTTCTGCATGTTCAGATATAGGAAAAAGAGTTATATTAAACCCATCAGAATTAATTAAACATCTTTTGATGATCCTTCTCATTGAAACCTAGCCACCCCCGTGATGCACAGAGGATAGATATAGATACAATAAAAACAATGTCATGTTGACTCCAACGGATGCTTAAGCAATGGCCAGCAAATATTGATAAATCACACCAGCCCCACCACTATAACCCAATAACCCAATGTTTAAAAAACCGACCGGGAGCTGAACTGCTTTTACCACCTGTTTCTGAGTTAACGGGTTGCTTGGACGGTTTTCGGATTGAATGATCCGACCGTTACGGTCAACGACAGTTAGAAAACACTACTATAACCACAATATCCTCAAACACCTTACAAATTAATATGTGCATGCGAAGTGTAAATGGTGGTGACCGGTGAGCATTGTGGATGTTGGTTAAAGATGTGGTGTATAAACCAAAAGAAAGACGAGTCGTTTAAGTTGATGAATTCATGCCTGATGGCCATAGCCAATCTTGGCATATCTCAACTAGTACTAGTAGCATCTTACTAAAACTCCAGGATCGTTGAGATAATTAAACAAGTGACCAAAAGGAAACTTACATTGTTATTGAGGCAAGGGTGAGATCGGAAGGCACCATTGAGGCGCTTGAGGACTTGCACGACGTGGTTGGGATAGTTGCAGGAGAAGGCTCTTGGAACGATATCCCTATGCATCATTACAGAACGAACGTGGCTCTCATCCAAATTCAGTTCTTCGAGGATACGATGTCCTCCGCAGAATATGAACGGTGATCCAAAGGTAACAACGGGTAGTAGACTGGGAGGCTTGATTACTCCCCTAGCCAACAGCATTAAGCTGACTAGAAGGGAAAGGCTCCCCCCAAGAGAATGTCCCGTGAATCGAAGTTTAGCTCCATCTCCATGTTTTTTCAAATGACTTAGAATCTCTGGTGTAAATTGTTCATAAATCCCCTTGGCAGCTTCATAGATACCTCTGTGGACCAACACCTCTGTTCCCTACAATATAGACAAGTACTGTTTGATAATTTTGTTTTCTCTTCAACTTTAACATCGGCTCTTCACCATAAATTATATTTTAATGCACAGACTGTATGCCTTTTTCATCCTATATATTATTGAATTTAGACACCAGAAGGATAAGCTAATTATACCTCGAATTTGGTAGGTTCAAAGAAGAGGTTTGCTTGCCAAGATGCCAATGAATCTGATCCCTGCCATGCACACCCATTCACGACCCACTAGGATGTCATTCCCTCTTGTAGATTTGAGTAACGAGTCTAACGACTCTAACCATGGTTTACAAGTGCGCAGATCTATACCTGAATGATGAAGCAACGAGTACAAGTGCTTGGATCATCGCAAACGAACCACTCGCATGGAGAAGAGTGAAGTGACCGAAGGTCCCTTGCTGCTTCTTGCTTTGCTGCCTCTTCGGCGGCTACAACAGCCGTCATTGTTGATGCTGCGACATAAGCTGCCATTTCGGACTTGTAAGCCCGAGAAGAGGAGCACCCTTCGTCCTCTCGTGGTCGTGGCTGGTCACCATGGTTATGTGATTCTGTCTTGACATCCAGATCCTCGTTGTTGGAACCACAGCCAAGGGATAACAGTCCCCTGGTGCGGGAGTGTACGTATGATGCCGCTGAAGAGGCAATCTGATAAGCTACAGAAGGACGGATTGGACGCTTCTGCTCAAAATCCAGTGCTTTCCTTGAACTGGCTTTAATAGAGGGAGCTAGAGGTACGCGAGTGGAGTCAGCATCAAACTTTGCCTTGACAGCAGCGGCTTCTTCTTTCTTCTCCAAGGAAGACGTTACGAAGTGTAGATCGTAGTATTTGCTCAAGTCTTCGGCCTAAGTATTCAAAATGAAATCAAATATGTTATAGTTACTTCTCCGCAAATCGCCTCTTATACTGAAGCACCATCTACTTAACTAAGATACAACTTACAAGGTTTCATGAATGAATGAATGAAGTTTACGAAACAAAACCATGAATTAATGTACACTTGGGCAAACTGGACACATGGATTTCTTTAGATGGAGAAGGAGCGTTGTACGGGATTTAGTTTTTTATCCTATCATTTGGGCAAACTGGACACAATTGCTTAATGCTTCTTAAGTCTTTAAGCTGTGAATGAGCTGCATCCAGCTTACGCTTACCCCTTTCAAGTCATGGGTTGAGCTAGTGGTCTAAGAAGTTCCATCTAATACTGTTCAGTGGTCAAACTTCGAACGAAACGGCGACTAATAATGTTGCAAACCTGGATTTTGGATCGTTTGGTTGGTAATCTAACTACGGACTCCATTTTAGAGAAGTCTACACGACCCAAAAATCATTCACGTGGCAACAGGTTGAAACCCAAACGTACCCCACTTGTTCAGATTTCCACATTCCACTTCCCGTTCTATGATCATATGATGTCATGTTTCAGACCAAAAGACAAGTCTATAGGAATCAGGAGTCTAGGACTTTAGGAGACGACATGGCCAGGGGGAGATGAATCGATGGTCACTCAAGACAAGAGGGTCATGAGTTCAGTACTTCACTTTGTAATTGGACAAACCCAAGGTGATACCTGACATGGTAGCAGAAGCAGGCCGGTCATTTAGAAGTTATAGAACGAGAAAGGCTGATTGATCATCACTTTCGCGGCGCCCAATCCTCTCCCTCTACTGGCCAGTGAAGAGATGATCCTCCACTGGCCCAATGATATCATGCCAAGTTTTTTTTTATCCACCGTTCAAGGGAGCTGGGAGCATTCCCTCCCTTTGAACGTTTTCTCCCTTTTTATCCACTGGCCCAATGAGGAGTTTAGGACGTTCTTTCCCTTTGAACGCCGCTCTTTTATCCACCGTTCAAGGGAGCATTCCCTCTTTTTTTTTCAAAGGGAGAATGACCAATCAGCCCAGATCAGAATTTTATAGCCCTATAGTACAGGGGAATGCATCAAGACCGTGAAGAGGGCTAGTAGTAGGGACTGGAATTCTGCATCGGATGTATCCGTACTTTTCCGTTTTTTTTTCCGTATTTAGTGATCTTTTTTTTCATTATTTTTTTTTCTTCAAAATTTAGCGAAAAAAGTGGGAGTACCTTGATCTCAGGAATCACATAGGCTATGTTGCACAGGAAAGCCAATTGCGAGAGGAGTTTCGTATCAGACAATGGAACTCGAACTAACAACCTTGAAAAGGATTCTTGATCGAAAATGGTTCCCTCTTCCTCATCTTCAGGGCCGTAATCAACCACACAACTACCTTTGCCTTCATCTCCATTTCCGGTTGCTTGTTCTTTCTGTTGTCGGCTCCTCCAATGACTTCGAAGCTCTAAAAGTCGCTCCACCCAATTCGCTCTCTTCTTATTCTTCTTCTTCTTCTTCTTCTTCTTCTTCTTCTTCTCCGATTCCTCTTCTCCTTCATGGGTGTCATCCGAGTAGTCGACCACCCTCATTTTTATGTCCATATCGGGATCAAAAGGAGGCGATCGGACCGAACCTGAGAGCTGGAAAGGGAAGATGCCAGTGGAACGGCTTTTCTTTAGTTTGGGTTCGAGCGAAGCAGCACGGATGCAGTTTAGCGAGTAACGGAGCTGAGGGTCGGACTTTGATCTTCGGAGACCAGATGGGTCGCACAGGTCTTTGCCGGAATGGGACCGCCGAAGACTGTTATGTTCTCTGGGCATGTCTTTTGTCGTGCTGGCGATCGGAGAGCCGGAAATGCTGACTGAATTGCACGCCATAGTTGGTCTCGGTTGGTTCGCTTTCGACTTTTGCTCCACTCTGACAGTACCTGAGAAACCGAGCTTGGACCTTTACCGAAGAAAGCTCTCTCTTTCTCTGGGAGTAATGGGCTGGTTGGTTATCGTTGAATGCCGGATCCATTGGACTTGGAGGAGTTCTCGGAACCAACACATCGGATGGTAAGTTGGTAACGGCAATTTTGAGGAAAGACAGGTTTTAAAAATTCCCCTCATGGTAGAAACTACGAAAATGCTGCCACTTGTAGTTGCGTATCATACGACAGTATTATAAACAAAATCAACAGTCTAGGCCTCTAGGGGCAGGTCTGGGGTAAGAGATTTGAGGACGAGTCCAAATCTGAATCTTCTCTGGCTGATGGTTGTTGAAGTGAACCCCCTTATGTCGTGAGTTGTGATTGGTTAAAGAGTCACTGGGCCAATTAGATGAATTCACATGGAATTTATTAGATACAGAATTTGGGTCTATACGTCCTCCTCGATCTCAAATTGATAAAGTCAAAATTCATGTAGCAGTTTTCAAGGGGAATGAGTAAATAATGTGAGAGGGACTGTGGCTGTGGGGCATCTGAGCAATTTTCGCAGGAGGCTCGTAATAATCAGTTTTCGTCTGTACCTGGATGCCAGCAACGTTAATTAACTGAGTCGATCTCGATGAACGCCTTGATTGTTCCGAACGACATCTTTCCACTTGTAGACTAGTTAACTCAGGATTTCGGATTTCCCGTTGTTCAAAGTTTAAACTGGAAGTGCTGAACGTCCACTCTGCCATGGTAGAGTTTCAAAGATATTAACAATAATATATTTAATTATAAGACAAATAAAATAAATATTCATAGTTCATGCTTCGTATACAACTCTACCGCTTGTATATATGGAAAAGATTTGACAATTTTTTAACGGAATATATCATGATAATATTCTGAAAACGAAACATTTTTGAGGTGAAACAAAATGTGAAAGACAACGATCGAGGAAGAACAATGCGAAGCGCAAGGCTGGGCCAGCCAATATAGATTCGCAAATGAATGCAGAATTGATAGAACAAACCACATAATAAATCGTAGAACAGAAGAAAATTCGCGTTCGAATTTGAGMCAACTCATATGACCGAAATAATCAATCAATGAGCAAAGTGAATTAGTGATGCCTGGGAGCTTTTCTATCTTCGATTCACCATCATCATCCAACTTTACTTGGAAGAAGGTCGAAGCCGGAATTAAGAGAAGAGATAGAAGAAGAAAGAAGAAAACGACTGAGGAGATACACACCTTTTAATTTACACATGCTTCAAGAATGGTTTGATCCGTTTCTTCGGATCTCCGGACCGGAGCAGAAGTCATTTCGTGGATGAAACCACTGTAGAACATATAGCTATAGGAGTGAACGAACAACACGGATCTGCGTGTTACAGGTTCAACTTCAAAGCATCGGAGTGAGATCCGGCGGAGGTATAATAAGACAAGACAAGGAGAGCCGAACTCCTTGCCTTTGACTGCATCTCAATTCCTATTAACTTATTTTAAATATTAATTTATAATAAATAAATAGAAAGTGTTGGTGCAACAAATCTCTGGCTAACTGTCCGAATCTCGGAAACGCGCGATGGTTTTGTCGTTGTAATGGACTTTTAACGGTGAAGTGAATTTGAATCCCATACTAGTTAGAATCTAATCACGTGGACGTTTCTCCAGCGGGTTGCCACTTGCCACGATTATAGTTTCTATCGGACTAAAAACACCTGCCCTCTTTATCTAATGACATCAAACTTCAGTACAAACTACAAAGCGAAGCGATGACTTTATTTTAGGCCGCTTAAAAACAAGTACTTATTGGAATAACTCAACTTTTTTCAAGTGTTTATTTTAAAAAATAATCACTTATTTTATATTAGCGTTTAGTGGTCTTTTTCTTCAATAATCGTTTAAATAAGTAATTGTGATTCTTGTCTTTTATTTTATTTTTTTTTCAAAATTTTAAAATATTTAATCCAAAGTGAATGAAAGTGCTTTTATAAAAGCATTTTTTACAAAGTATTTTCGTAAAATATTTTTATAAAAGCATTTTCATAAAAGTGCTTTTATAAAAGCATTTCTATAAAAGTGCTTTCATAAAAATGCTTTTGTAAAAATAATTTACTTTTACAAAAGTACTTTTCATAAAATTACTTTTATAAAAATGACTTTATAAAAAAGATATAATTGGTATTATGAAAATTCAACAGGAACGATTATGAGTGAAAAAATTGAATAAGTGATTATTGTATAAATACTTAAAAATAACTAGAAATTTGAACTTAAAAAATAAATTCTCAATTTTAAACTAAATACTTATTTCAGATTTATTTTTTAAACACCAATAAATGCTTGTGGTCCCAGCTCAAATAAATACTCCCAAACATAGTCTTCAGAGAAAAGAACAAAAGTGGGGAAAAGGATAATTTGATACAAGATTAGAGAAAGTGATGGAAGTGAAGGATAGGTACATATGAACATTATTATTGTTCATAGATAGCAGTGCAAAGGTGGAAAGGTACTTTTTCTTTGCTTTTTGCAGAGGCAGCCATGAGGCCCATGACTCAACTGAAATATGGAGGGGCATAATAAAAAGTAAAGAGTAAAAAGATTAAGGAGCAGAGAATAATACAGATTACAGAAGGTGAGAGCCAAATGTTGGGTTGCATGAAGAAGGCATGGGCTATGAACTCCACATAGCCTCCTGGTTTGCTGTTGGTGTCTAACTACTCAACAGGCTCGCTCATCTTTCCGCCCAATCTCATCATCATGTAAAGAGAGAGGGTGAGCGGAAGCTGCCAATTCCATGTGGAAGTTGTGAATTTGTCTTGTTCTTTATTTCTTTTCAGTTTGGGTTCGGAATTAGATTAGTCCAAGCTGTGCAGTGCAAGTGCAACCTCTTCGCTTTGGACTTGTTTTAATTATGTGATCTGCCTCGACCGCAGTGCTATTTGAGATATGTGGTGTGAGATTGTATTGGTACAGGATTGAAAGTCTGTTGGCAGATGATCCAGGTTTGAAGTAACATGAGTTTGGATTTACTCTTCACACAGAGTATCTCACACCGACCTCACAGGTATACACAGTGGGATGTGCCTGTGAGGGTGGTGTGAGGTGGACCGTGTGAGGAGCATGTCCCAATTCAAGATAATTTGTTTTGTTTTATTAGAACCGCGTCATAGTTTCACAGATTTAATTAAGATTATCATAGAGATTTTCATTTTAACAAAGCACCTTCTATGTTTTTGCAACCTATTTATTTAATCAATTTTTTCACTGAGAATATGATCATCTAAACTGGATGGAAAATGTTCAAAGGGCACATAGGTTCATGATTGTTTAATGCAAAATTATAGTTAACTTTTTTTTTATACAGAAAATAAAATTGACTAAATAGAGCCAAAAAGAGTGGTTATTTGTATTTTATTAAAGGGAAAAATAATATTTTTATTTTTATTTTCTTTTGATTAAATTTATTCAAATAAATATTAATGTTAAAATTATCATTTTCCACTATCACTTAAATGAAAGATTTTAGTATTTTAAAACAATTTATGGAGTAGGTTTTAGTAAATTCATAAAACTATAAGGGTGTTTAGTAAATGACATTCACAAGTCAACAGTTTTAGGTTATTTTGGGACTAATGCCATTTTTTGGAAAATGATGATACATCATTACTATATCGGTATTTCATGGTTTGAATTAAAGCACGTTCTTTGGGACTAATCCATACAAACAGTTTGCCGTCATCGGTAAGTCCAAATTTCTGCTACATTTATAGATATTTTCCGGTTTTCTCAATTGAAATGAATGTTTTAAAAAATGACCTTGAATCCGAACTATTCAGGCCATCTGTTTTGGGTTAATGGTTCAACCGTCCGATTTGAACGGATAATCTTTTTTAATAAAAAAATTAAAATAAAAAGGTTAAAAACTATTGAATGGGCTTGGGGTAAAATGGAACCAATTGTCTGAACAATTACTAGACTGAATGGTCCGACTGTCCAGATCAATGGCAGTTCGAAAATCATGATTGAAATCATAACAACAACTATAATTTTGTGTTGGAGACAAGGCCAATCAGAATTCCTGCCATTTACATTCGTTTATGCATCAGCATCACTTCCCTCGTTTGCCCAGGTTGGGCTGGCTGTAGAAGATCATGATTGACCCTAGGTTTGGCTAAAGGCCCAATGCAACAGTCGGCTGGTCCTGGCCTTGCGCAACTGAAGTGGGTTGATCCAATACAAGTTGGTCTTGCTTTGGGTTTGCTCCTATTTGGTGGCTGCTAAACACGGGCTTTGCCACCTACCTGCGGCTTAGTTGTTTGAGTACCAGGAGCGACGTATAAGAGGAGCTGAACCCTTCAATTTTATCTTCATCAATTTTTAGCTGCCATTTCCCAGTAGTTTTTTTAGCGTATGGTGGCACAAATTCCATTCCTCTCATTTTGAATCATAGATAAAACGAAGACCCCGTTTATTTTTGGGAAGTTATTTATTTGGAAAATTCATTTATTCAGGTAAATATTTTTTTTATTTATCAGATAAATAAGATAATGAGTATTTTAGACATAAAAACACATTATTAAAAGGGATAATTTTATATCATTCAAGTGTTGACAATTTTTCTTTCAGGTGGAAAAGTTATTTTCCTACCTCTGAGATGGCTATCACTTACCATTTACCCAAGAAAAATAAATTTCCCATAGACTCTACATAAATCTGAAAAAAATATGAATATTTTGGTCAATTAAAAAATCCCATTGATCAATTTTCTCCCTTCTCAAAACAGGTTCTTAGTAGCTCTTGAACAAACTGGCATTTATATATCTACGTATAAGACTGGAACAATGGTTTGGTATGATGGAGCGCAATCCGGTCGGTCCTATCTGTCAACGATCTTGCCTCTGACTGGAGCAAAAGGTGCCTGAAACAGGGAAGAAAGCGAGTAGTCTCCGGGGAGGAACCCGGTGAGAGTGCTCCGAAGCTCAAGTTAGTATTCTCTCGAAGGCAAGATAAGAAACCAGATGGCGTAAAGTTATCACGTACCTTCCTTCTTGAGGGGAAGAGGGCATTTTATAACCACTTCGCGCACTCACTCCCAAGCTCCTGCCAAGTCGGGTATCATTACCTCTGCACTTCTGCCAGTTCGGGTGTCATC